CAACTAGCAACCCTGGGCAAGTCATTCCCTCTGGCCTGTTCCCCGGTTCTCCAGCTGTGACGGGGCGTTCCCCACCTCCCGCTCCCACATTGATGAGAACCGTACAAATGCCTAAAATTAAATAGCAAAGATTGAGTTGGCCGAGCCATCCAACAGCATCTTAAATTAAGCATGGTATTGGTAGTGGTGACAACAGAAAAATGTAGCCCCTCCCTTAAGCAGGATCCACGCTCAGCCTCATCAGAAATGTCTGACATAGACAATCTCCCTAATACGGTAGCTTGGCTTATGTAAAATAAAGAACCTTTGGCCTGAATCTTAGTCCTGGACTATGGGGGCCTTGCACAGTAGGCTGTTTTGCTGGGTTGCTGTTGGTGGTTTGGTTTGGTTTTCCTCCCAATCTACTGCTTTTCCTGAAATCGCTGGTATTTTCTTGTTGACGTAGTTTCCTATTGGATTGCCAAAGACTTCATGGCCATGTGAGTTTGCTGGTCCTTGGTAAACTTTCAGGTGGAGTGCTTTACTCATAAACTGATCTTCAGCAAAACTCAGGAAAAGAAGATCTATTTCCAAAACTGTCCCCTCTGGCAGCAGGCAAAACCTCCTCTTTCTATACTTTAGTGAACCCTATTCTACACTGAAGGTAGACTACAGCATTCCCCAATTGGATACATTTTATGGTGCTATATGAGTTTTGGTCAATTGCCAAAGTGGACCTGCTCAGGCTAATGAGACCCAGAATATTTGCTTGAGGTTATGTTGAAAGTTAGATGGACATTTAGGCCTAAATCCTCAAAGGTATTTAGGATCCTAACTGCCATTGAAATCAATGGAAGTTAGTCACCTAAATACCATTGGCAATCTGGGCCTTACTGTCTTGTTCTAGGAACATTTTGTGCTCTTAGTCCTTTGCACTCTGCACATTTGGTGGAAACACTGCATTTAAGACGATCTGCTATGGCAGGAGGCCACAGACAGGTCTCTAAAATATCAGCTTTCATTTAAAAAAAAAAGTAAGTCTCTAGCTCAGTGGTTTTCAAACTTTTTTTTGTGTGGACCACTTGAAAATTGCTGAGGGTCTCGGCGGACCACTTAATGATCTTTCCAAATGTGTCAAGTATCAGGGGGTAGCCGTGTTAGTCTGTATCCACAAAAACTACAAGGAGTCCGGTGGCACCTTAAAGACTTAACAGATTTATTTACAAAAGCAGCGTTGCCTCTCCTGGAATTGACACCTCATCTATTGTTGGGAGTGGACTACATCCATCCTGATCGAATTGGCCCTGTCAACACTGGTTCTCCACTTGCGAGGTAACTCCCTTCTCTTCATGTGTCAGTATATAAGGCCTGCATCTGTAATTTTCACTCCG